TATACATATATATGCCAAAGATTATTAGTGGTAGGAGGGAAGGGGAAAGCAGAGCTTTTATTTGGGGGGCATTGAATTTCTGCTAATAGGTGGTGGAACGTTTTGGAAAAGGATAGTAATAATGGTGGCACAACATAAAAAATGTCCCAAAGCTATAAATGTGGAAGTTGCTATATTGGCTTATAGCTTGTTGTATAAGTTTTTACCATAGTAAAAGTGAAAAAAAAAAAAAAAAAAGAAGAAAGAAAGATTGTAGTAGGGAGTTCTGAGAAAATTTTTCCTTTTTTCAAATATGGGGTTAACTTTACTCAAAGAATTTGGTCTTAGTCCTTGGTTCCTGAGAGATAACCTCTAAAACCTTGGGCCTTCCCCAATGACTGAAGGATCTCTGATGAGGACTCCAAACTACACCTAAGGGTTTATGACTCTTTTTGGGTGAGGGCTAATTAAACCAGAAAAACTCACCATATAGTAACATCTCCTACTATCTCCTGACCTCCAAGGAAAGGAGCTGGAGTTTGAATTACAAGAGATTCCCAATAATCAGGACATTGACAGTCCATGGGCTTACAGCATGGTGAAATATATCAACACATTGGAAAGGTAACACGTGCCTTTTTTGGGACGGTGGTTCTCCATGTTAAGAACTCCACCCTATGTATCTCTTCATTTGTATCCTTTTTGGTATAATAAACTTGTAAATATAGCACCTTCCAAAATTCTGAGTTGTTCTAGCAAATTATCAAACTTAAGGGAGTAGTGGGAGTCAGCAGGTCAGAAATGAGGAAGAGGCCTGGGGAGTTCCGAGTTTAAAGCTGGTATCTTGAGGTGTTAGTAGTGTCCTGGGGACACTAGTCTTGGTGGTATGCAAGTTCTCAGGCAGAGTTGGCAGTCTGGAAGACCATACGCTTTAACTTCTGAGGTCTGTCTTAGCTCCCAGTGATTAAGATCAGAGAAAGAAATGCTGCATGTATAGCTGCTATGAGAACAGAAGTGAAATAGAATGGAACAGAACTGAAGATAAATTATTATTGGATTCAACTGACTCTTGAAGTTTGGTGTCAAAGAACTGGGATTTGATTTTCCACGTAGTGGAAAGGTCATAATTGGCATGACTTCTTTCTCTTTTCTTTCTGCACTAATGAAAATGTGATGCCTGGAATAGAAGCTGCAATTTTTGACCATCAGAAAAAGCTTAGAGTCCTATAGAGAGGTCAGCTCTTGAAACTTTAAGCTGCAGAACCAATTCCAGGTGCCACCTATCTCCAGAGCTCTTGTTATGTGACGAAAATCAGAGACTCTAGGTTGAGGTTTCTGTTACTTATGAAAGCATTCCTATCTATTTCTTGAAAATGTTAGTGGCCCAAATTACTACTCTTTGCATGCACTGACAGAGCTAGCTGAGCCAAGTTTTTTGGTGAATTGTGACTAAACAGCATTACTTTAACCTACAGAGAAAAGTAGCAGGAAGAATGACACAAAAAAAGAGTCTGGGTAGACAATCTAGAGTAATCAAGTCAAAGAGAGCAAAGAAAAGGAAAGGGCCAAGATAATTATACAAATGTTAAAGAGTTATATTGTTGTTGTTAGGTGCTGTTGAATTGATGTTCGACTGATAGCGACCACATGTGACAGAGTAGAACTGCCCCACAGGGTTTTCTCAGCTATCATCTTTACAGGAACAGATCACCAGATCTTTCTCCCATGGAGTCTCTTAATTGGTTCAGACTGCTAAAGTTTCAGTATTACAGAAGAAAAAAAAATAATTGAAAAATTACTCCTTTAGAATTTTGAGCCAATAAATAAACCTTATTAATGTTCTATTCTTTTGGAGGCTCCTATTCCAGACATCACATTTTCACTCGTGCAGAAAGACAAGAGACCTGGAGTTAGAAAACCAAAAGGGAAGAACACATTCAGCATTTCTCAAGTCAAAAGAACTGAAGGAAAAAATTAAGCCTTGAGTTGCAATATTGAAAGTCTCTATGGACAAAATGCTAAATGATTCAGGAAGCATCAAAAGAAGATGGAAAGAATACATAAAAGTCGCTGTACCAAAAAGAATTAGTCAATGTTCATCCATTTAAGGAGGTGGCATATGATCAAGAACCAACGGTATTAAAGGAAAAAGTCAAAGATGCACTGAAGGAATTGGAGAAAAACAAGGATCCAGGAATGAACGGAATACCCATTGAGATGTTTCAACAAACAGATACTGTGCTGGACGCACTCACTCAGCTATGCCAAGAAATTTGAAAGACAGCTACCTGGCCAACTGACAGGAAAAGATCCATATTTGTACTCATTCCAAAGAAAGGTGATCCCACAGAATGTGGAAATTATCAAACAATATCATTAATATCGCATGTGAGTAAAACCTTACTGAAGATAACTCAAAAACTGTTGCATCAGTATATTGACAGAGAATTTCCAGAAATGCAAGCTAGATTCAGAAGAGGATGTGGAACAAGGGATATCATTGCTGATGTCAGATGGATCTTGGCTCAAAGCAAAGAAAACCAGAAAGAGGTTTACTTGTGTTTTATTGACTACGCAAAAGCATTTGATCATGTGGATCATAACAAATTGTGGATAACATTGAGAAGAATGGGAATTCCAGAACACTTAATTGTACTCATGAGGAACCTGTACATAGACCAGATGGGTGTCATTCCAACAAAACAAGGAGATATCGTATGGTTTAAAATCAGGAAGGGTGTGTGTCAGCGTTGTATCCTTCCATCATACTTATTCAATCTGTATGCTGAGCAAATAATATGAGAAGCTGGACTATATGAAGAAGACTGTGGCATCAGGATTGGAGGAAGAATCATTAACAACTTGCAATACGCAGACAACACAACTTTGCTTGCTGACAGTGAGGATGACTTGAAGCACTTACTGATGAAGACTGTAGACTGTAGTCTGCAGTACGGATCACACCTCAAAACAAAGAAAACAAAAACCCTCACAACAAGACCAACAAGCAGCACTATGATAAATGGAAAAAAGATTGAAGTTGCTGAAGACTTCATATTACTTGTTTCTACAATCAACGCCAATGGAAGCAGCAGTCAAGACATCAGACGACATATTGCACTGGGCAAATTGGCTGCAAAAGATCTCCTTCAAATGCTGAAGAGCAAAGATGTCTCTTTGAAGACTAAGGTATGCCGAACCCGAGCCATGGTATTTTCAATCACCTCATATGCATGTGAGAGCTGGACAATGAATAAGGAAGACTGAAGAAGAGTTGATGCTTTTGAGTTATGGTGCTGGGAAAGAATGCTGAAGGTACCATGGACTGCTAAAGAACTAACAAACCTGTCCTGGAATGCTCCTTAGAAACAAGAATGGTCAAACTTCATCTCACCTACTTTGGTCATCTTGTCAGAAGAGACCATTCTTTCGAGAAGGATGTCATGCTTGGTAAAGTGGAGGGTCAATGAAAAGAGGAAGGTCTTCAACAAGATAGAATGACACACTGGCTGCAACGATGGACTCAGGTATAGCAGAGATCATAAGGCTGGCACAGGACGAGGCAGTATTTTGTTCTGTTGTACATAAGGTCCCTATGAATCAGACACCTAACAACAACAATGTTTTACTCAGTAAATCAAGTCTGAGAATTTAGATTCTATTAATTTCCTATCATACACCTCCAGTACTTGAAAAATATTCCTTGAAAAGTCATTTTTTGTAGTTATGTTTTTCTGGTTTTTTTCCAAGCCAATTCTTTTATTAATTTACCCTTATGCTTCTATTTCCTTGGTAGTCACAAAGGTAGAGTTACTGTCAATATGTAATTTTTGACACTTGCAAAGTCTTTGAAAGAATTATTAACAGTCAAGTTAATTATGATATTAACAATAAATTCAATGGTTGCTCTAAGCATTTACAGACTAGTGAAGCTGGCAGATCCATCCCTCTAACTTTAAATACAGTCACTTCTAGATCAATGCCAATGCATAAAAAATTCCAAAGATAAATAAATCTACTCATTCAAATGAAATCTCAGAAATATGCTTATTTGAACTCATATACCCATTAAAGTGAAACTCTTAAGTTAAAACACCTGTTTTCACTTATAAACAATACAATACACACACACACATACACACACACAGTACTCTCTCTAGTAGTTTCCTCCTCTATGAAAACGATTTGGTAGTTTTATGCTGCACTGTAAACATTTTTCAATTACCGTATCTATAAATTATAAGGGTGTGTGTGTGATTTCAGAGTTGAATTCTTTGGACTGTTAAAGTTTGAGCTAGAAAGAATCTCAAATATAAAGAGGTTTCAGGATCAATTACGGCAGTGGAACAGAATTTAATAAAGTTCCAACACTACATTTTAATGCCTAAATTTCTTATTGTCTTTTTTAGTTGACAAATATGTGCTTCACAGCATAATAGCAGCAGCAGAACAGCTGGATGGCTGTATCAAGCACAAAGGAAGCAGCAGTGCATGCTGTTAAGTGACGTTCTGATTGCCTAGAAATGGCAGCACATGCAGATTTATTCTGTTATAAATTAGAACAATTATTTCTCCGGAGTTTACGTTTTCTCCATGAAAGAGTCAAACTTTCTGCATGTTATAAAAAAGGACTTTCAAAAAGGATATCTTCCCTTTCTTTGATGATGAGTTCATTCTGTTCTTCCAACTGTCTGATCTTCTTCTCAAATGATTCCTGCTCAGCCTTCAGTCGTTCTTCTGTCACTTCCTTTTCCTCACTTACTCTGAAATAAAAAGAAGAAGAAGAAAGAAAAGCCTGTTAGAATAAAATAATGTGCCTATAACGCACTGCTGTTGCGTCGGATCCGATTCATAGCGACCCCTCCTTGGGTTTTTCCAAGGTGGTATCACTACGGAAGTAGATTGCCCAACCTTCCTTCAGAGAAGTGGCTGGTGGGTTTGAATCGCCAATTTTCTGGTTAGCAGTCAAATGCCTTAGGTACTATGCTACCAGAGCTCCCAAAATATGCTATAGCTGTGGTTTACCAAAACTAGACTGGTCTAGAGGTTTCTGTATGCTAAATTCTTTTCTTTTTTTAAAAAAAAAAATCTTTCATAAACTAATCTTCCTCACCTTTATAGTATAATATGCATGTGATTGTTTTTTATTCTTGTTTAACCTGATTGTCTATGCATCTACTTGTAGATTACTGCTATTACTGTTATTGCAGGATTATGTAGGTAATAGTATTTACTTCTTTTGCTTTTCACTTTTTTTTTTTTTAAAAGAAACTTTTTATTGTGATTTGGATGAAATTGTACAAAGCAGATTCGTTTTACATTCAATAGCCCATACACATTGTTTTATGACACTGACTACACTCTCTACAATGTAACAGCTCTTGGTTGCTGTACTCCTTCCAATGTCTTCCTTTATCATATTTTTTGCTGACCTCTCCCTTACTATATACTGCCTTCCCTTTTACCCAATATGCATGTGTTTTACATCAAGAATGTTTCCAATCATAACTAGTAACTCAAAAATGGAAAATCCTACATAGGACACAGGTGCCCAATTATAATCCAGGCCAGAAAAGTTTTCTAATTTTTAAAACATAGGTTTCATTTCATTATCAAAATTGGTACAACCAAGTTATTTTTATTTAGACTTTTTTCATACTTTTACTGAAATTTTGCTAATGAAATAAACAACATATGTCTCTTAGATAGTTCACTTTTTCCTGGCACTTATTTCTTGGTAGCATATATATAATTGGACATGGGGAAAAAAATGGTACTAATATAAAGGATGACTTGTATTATATATTTATTCTTCATAAATCTACTTATTATAAAGTTAAATAAGAGGACCAAAAAAATTTGTATCATCAATGTTTAACTGGAAAACTTTCCTACTCAATCCCACAAAAAAGGGTTGGTTTCTGTCAAGAGCACAGAGGAAAAAAAATCTCAAAAAGGTAAACAACAGTAAATATTATCATAAAAGTCACTGAAATGTATTTCAGAACAATCCTAATTTTCATGCAACTCTGTGAACAGAGACCTTAACGTTCCATTTCTCTGTTACTGCTGCTTATTTCTCTAAAAAGGGCACAAAACATTTATCCTGCATTATCATACCGAGATGTGTGAGTAATCAAAACCTTTTCTTTGAGCTCTTAAATTTACATCATTCTCACTTTACCAGAACAATTTCTGAACAATATAAATCCCAGAGGCTTTCCTATGTTGCTTGCCCTATGGGTGACATGTTGACATTAATGAGACAACCAAATGAAAACCAGAACTTAGTTCAAGAGTTGAATGCATTTTGGTTTTGAAATCATTTGTGTGAAAGCACATGGTGAAGTGGTGCTCAATAAATGGGTTTACTTCCTCTTGCTCATCATGACATTCAAATCATTCTCCAATCCTTATTTTCTTTGTTTAGCATACTGCTAGGCCCATGAAAGGGACCCAAGTCCTACCTTCCAGGGTGTTAATCTTTAGACTGACATAATTCTAAGGAAGCCAGAACAGCTAGATGAAAAACAAAGGGATACACATGAGGAGGATTCATAATCTGTTACCTGGTTCCCCTGCCTCTCATGCCCATCTCTTTACAATGTTTTGTTTTTTATTGCCATTACTTTCAAGACACCTGTACTAACATCTCATAGTCATTCTCCTTTGCTTCTAATTTTTTCTAAAATTGTCAAACATTTGAACCTTTATTTCTAAAATCAAAATTGTTATTCTTTGGTCTATAAGTAGTTTCTGAAACACCTTTGCCAAGAAACTGTTCCAGATATATAAACCCCAAAACTGTCAATCAGAAGACCATGTATGCTTGATAAATTTGACAAAGTCTACTCATCTCTCTGGGCATCATTACTCTTACCTGTAAAAGAAGTTTAGATTAGACATTTAAAATCCCTTCCAGTATTATAATATAAATATACTGGTGCCATATATATATTCCTTTGTAAATATAGGAAGCATTTAAAAAAGAAATCAGAAGAAAGTCATCAAACTTTTAGCTAGGGTACAAAGCACAATACTACAATCTAAACAAACCTTACAGGCATAGGATGAAAGAGGAAGAAGTATATAAGAAAATTATAGAAAAAAATAAAGATGTGAAATTGGGCACGAAAACAGATAATGCAAAACTAAAGAAATCATGAATGTGTAAAATTGTGATGAAATAAGTTATGTTATATATTGAGGAGAAAATAAACACTGTCAAGGTGAGAGAATAGGTAACAAAACTCATCCCTATTTAGATTTGCAAAATCTCGAAGATACAACTAAAGAAGAAAATCCATAAATAGATAAGGAAAAATTTATTTTCATTGACTTATTAGAAATATTTACTGAATATCTATTATAGGCTGTGGTAGTTAAGTTTGTGTGTCAACTTAGCTGGCTGAGTGGCTGGGCAGCTAGATATATTATTCCCCATGATGAGGCTGGTAATCAACTCCATGGTGCATGGTGGAATCTACTGTGAGCAACTGAGTAGCTGCTTTATGGATATGGTCTGCTTCCTGTATATAAGGAGAAGTCTTGGGGAATGGTTTCTACCTCATGGCACACTTGAACCCTGTGTGTAGCTGTGTCATTGGTTAGCAGCCTGCCATGCTCTGTCAACCTCGGGACTTCCAATGGAGATGAATTCATGGTGCCTTTTTACTTGTCAATCTTGGTCTTATCAGTCTCAGCAGCCAGCAGCTGTCTGAGTGAAGAAAAGCCTCTAGCTTCAGTGGGCTGGGGGCAGGAGGCAGAGCTGAAGCCCAAGGTTGAGGGGTTTTCACCCAGACTCTAGAGCCTGGCACTTTGAACTTGGTCTTAAAGGCTCCAAATTGTAGGAATAAAACTCCTGTTTGATAAGGCCATTCTATTTGTGGTATATTCCTTTTAGAGTGGTACTAGATAAACAAAACACAGGCAAAAAATAATTCCAGTAAATTTATTCAGTTATGAAGTAACCAAAAGGAATTTATATTCTCTATAGTTTCATTCATAAGGGCCATATAAATACAAGCACTTACTCAATGATTTTTATTCACTAAGTAATCAGAGACATATAAAGTAGTTTTATAAGACTCCCATGTTTATCTTAACATTAAATTAAATGCATTGATAATCTCTAGATCAGAATCAGAATATATGGGAATTCCTCAACATTTACATAATCTTTTCTTTGAACCTGAAGAAGATTCATTAAAACCTTTAAGGATCACTGAAGCAAAAAAAAAAAAGCTCTCAGAGGTATATTCCACATGCCCAAGTCTATGATGAGCTTTTCCCAAACGCTTCAAGGGTGCCGTTCTGGTTACCTAGTGCCGTTCTGACAAGAAATAAACCACAACTGGAATGGCCTTAACAAACAGGAGTTTATTCTTACAATTTGGAGGGTTTAAGTCCAAGTTCAAAGTGCCAGGCTCTAGGGGCTGGGTGAAAGCCCCTCAGCCTTAGGCTTCAGCTCTGCCTCCAGCTCCCAGCCCACTGAGGCTAGAGGCTTTTCTTCACTCAGACAGGTGCTGGCTGCTGAGGCTGCCAAGCCCAAGGTTGACAAGTAAAAGGGCACAGTCCCAATAATACCAAACCACACAGCAGGCCGTTAATTCAAGTCCACTATAAGTCCCTAGGTCGGCAAAGCATGGCAGGCTGCTGAATAACGACACGGCTACATGCAGGGTCCAAGCGTGCCATAAGCTAGAGACCATTCCCAAGCCTTCTCCTTATATACATGAAGCAGACCCCATCCCAAAGGCAGCTACTCAGCTGCTTGTGGTAGATCCCACCATGGAGTTGATTGCCAGTCTCATCATGGGGAATAACTACCACTAGCTGCCCAGCCACTCAACCAGGCCCAGCCAAAGTTGACACAAACATAACTATCACAGGTGCTATCTAGATAAAATCACTCTTCTCTAACCTTACTTTCTGGGGTATATTTCAAAAATCTGTTGCCATGCTATTGAATAACATATATTTATTTTTTAAAAAAGATATTTTCTGTTATTGCTGCTATGATTAGACATCCTTTTGCAATTATTATGCTATTGAAGAGACTATAAAATTAACAAGCTGATTTAAGCACAAAGGGCAACATTCTTTTACAGGCCTATGTTACTACAGGCCTATGTAAGCATGGCTTCTTTTGTCCTACTAGCACAGTTAATATTAACACTTATATTAATATAGCCTTTAAATGCAGAGGATTGACTAAAGCAATCTCAAGATTTGACATCTACAGTTAGTACCCAGTATGAACAAGATCTGTTCCTGTGTCTTTAAGTTGAATTTGTAGTGCCTGAGGCACTTAACTGCTAACCAAAGGCTGGTGATTCAAACCCACTAGCTACTCTACGGAAGGAAGGTTGGGCAATCTACTTCCGTAGTGATACTGCCTCAGAAACTCAAGGAGGGGTCCCTATGAGTCAGGGCCGACTTGATGGTACATAACAACAATAGGAACAAGAGCATTTAGTTATTATTTAGCCTTACATTACCAAAAACAAAAACAAAAACAAAAAAGCCTTACATTAGTGCAAGAAAAAGCTAGAAACCTTTTCAATGATTTAAAAACTGAGTGCAACACGTGAAGGTCACTGTAATGAAAAATTTGTTATGAATAGAGGTCAATTCAATTGTTTCAAAGTGAGGGAAAATTTACATAAAAAGCAAGTGAGAGTTGTCCCTAAGTTGGATGTTCATAACCCAAGGGCTGCTGATACTATAAAATCTTTACATACTTCAGTAAATTTCCTAAAAG